GATTCTGGGGTCCTACTACTACCACGACAACCTCTACTACAACTACTATTACTACTACTACTACTACTACTACTACTGCTACTGCTACTGCTACTGCTACTCCTACTACTACTACTACTACTACTACTACTACTGAGCACTACTCCTACTACTACTACTACTACTACTACACTACCGCTTGAACTACTTCCACTTCTGCTTCTGCTTGCACTTCCACCTCCACGACTATTGCTACGATTAGGACCACCACCACAGCGACCGCGTCAGGAAATTTGGCGTGCACACCGTGTGTCCGGGTAAAGATGTCCTCCGGGAACTCAAGGCGTGGCAGATTTTTGGCGTGTCTGGTGCCCCCAAACCCTGCAAGAAGATCAACAACAGGTGGTCAGGGGCTTGCATCTACCACAACATTTAGTGACCGTTGTGATAGGTGGTTACAGGAGTGTTTGGCCGTTAGAGTTGCTTGGTTTATTGGTAGCAGTGCCATGGGTAGTCGCGGTCGTGATGAAACGGGTAGCATTAGCAGCCTGGCTGACAAGCCCATCTTGCATCGGGTTGCGCATCTGCAAAATACTTGACAAGGGTGGGTGAATCAAGTTTGAAAGTGGAAACACCAGTAATGACCACTGAAAATGGTAACCTCTGCGGCCTCTGCGACCCTGTCTGCTACAATATAAGTATAAGTGAGCAGGTGGCTACACGCTTCAAGTCAGGAATCCTGGCTAACATCGCGAGTGAAAATAACAGAACACCTGCATGTAATGTACGAAACAGAGAAACCGCTTAATTGCAACATGAGGTCGAACTACGACACCTGCACTCCTTATGAATCGTTGGTCGCCTCGTCTATTCGCTGGCTCTTTTTTGCATCCTAGCGCCCGCGCAAACCGCCTTCTGCAGGCAGCTTTGCTCGGATGGATGTTGCGTGTCGCAGTACATTTCCACAGTGACGACCTGGCAGGAAGATCCCGTGCCACGCATGCTGTCAAGCTGTGGATCTCTCCCTTTGGGGTGTTCTCGTGTGAGTTGTTGGCTGGCGCGGTTTGGGGCTGGGCGGGGCATGTCGTCACTGGCTCGGGGCGGCGTTCATTGCCTACCTGTCGGGCGGTCTGTATGCATGTAGTAATGTAGTATGTGAGTTTGCGTGTATATGTGCGTATGTACACATGGATGGATAGGTGAATGGATGGATGTATTTCTGTCTGTCTGTCGGTCGGTCTGTCGGTCTGTCAGGCGTCAGCATGTATGTATGCATGTTTGCCTGCCTGCCTGCCTGCCTGCATGTCTGTCTGTATGCATGCATGCATGCACAGACGTACGAACACTTGCGAAAGCGGGTTTTCGAGGGATCTCGTACTTACGTTGCAAAGATGCCTCAGCTCTGGCCGTCTCAAAGAAATGGGTGTTCGGTATTGACTTTGAAGGCCAGTGGGGAGGAGGTGACACCGGAGACCTTGAAGCATCCTCGCTGCAAGGGTTCCGCCTTGCTTTCAAGATTTTCGAGCATGAATTTGGAGGCAGAAGCTGTCGATACTGAAGGCCAGAAAGGAGGCAACAGGTGCACAAGTCTATTTCCAGATGGTTCAACTGCTGCTGAGTTTACGTGGGAAATGGAGTTCCATGCATGAAGCTTTCCATCTATGTACACAAGATGGCGAACCTTCGGGTGTGCATTTGGGCCGGCACGAAACCTCATACCAGGCAGTGGCTGGACCGACCCGTGCGGTATGTTTGGGGCTTCCCCGGCCAGCCGGCAGTTGCAGCTATCGAGGCCCAAGCGCGGTTTTGACCCCGGACATGCCACCAACAAGTCACGAGTTTTCACTTACAGTACCCAGCTCTCAGTTAAGCTGTCCAGCAAGGCTTTGTACGTGTTTCAGGTGAGGGACTTGATCACCCTAATTAACCAGTGAGTCCCCTGGCAGGTCTACCCACCTGTCAGCGCCCAACTCCAACTCTCCTTCGTGGGCGTGCACAACCTTGTGCCCCCTCTCGGATTTGCTTTCAGTTGGGCAGAACATTGTGTGGATGCAACGTGCAGACAAATTTGTACCCCTTTCTGCAGTTTTACATGGGAGGAGAAGAGTGTTTTTGCTGAGCTGGTAGGAGGTCAATCGACGATTTTACGTCGGGTCTGAGTCTAGCAATATGTAGTTTGGGACACGGGAAACATTGGCTTCCTTTTCGTGTAGCAGCACGGATGCAGTGAGCAGCCTGTGTGCGTGCAGAGCCTCCTTCGTGTAATCCGGTCCCTTTAGCCAAGGTCGTCAGCTGCATTGCCAATGTGCGCAAGGGTGGCGAGGACCGGCTTGGCAGTCGGCATGTGGAGGTCGATTTTATTTTGTTGAACAACGAGACTCCGGGTAATGAACTTCCGCTTTCCTATCTCTTGAGTCACCAGCCCAAGAACGCCATGAGATGTGCTCAGCAAGAGGACGGCCGGGGCTATCCCGATCCGCCAAATGGTCTGCACTTGGCGCAGCTCTGCTTCTCGATCTTACAATTGGCTTCAGGGAACAAGTCGAGTCAAGCTTCAAGGGAGGTCCTGCCTGAGTGCAATCGCATCTACAAAAGAATTTGAAGGAGTGATATGTCAATTTCCCTGCTGAAAGTGCAATCGTGGCATGTCTTGAAAAAGTCCTGGTAGGCTTAAAACAAGTTTAGACATCCAGGGCTATATGTACACATGGGCTGGGGCGTGGGCTGGTGCACGACTTGGGGTCTGGAAGCCATTGTCGGGATCTAGCCCCAGATCCAGGAATATCTCGTGCGCGGACTGGGGCTCGGAATCTCTTGTCAAGACCACCAAAGTGTGTTTAGCTCAAGATCCCAGAAAATGGCAATTGAGTAGTGATATGAGTGGTAGCATCATGTCAATTAGTTGTGGTCAGAGCACAGCGTGCTGGGTGTTTGTCAGTAGCTTCTCTATACTGCTTCATGAGTCATAGTTCACAATTTCTAACTGACTCCGGTGCCATATCCCTGCCACCCATCAGCGTAAGCAACCTGCGCCCCAAAACCCGCCCCAACCCCGGACCACCCATTTGCTTAAGCTACCTGCATCCCAAAACCGATCCCCCCGCCATGTGTCGGTTGTTGCATACACGAGCCTGTGCACCTTTACGTTCAGGTGCAGATTTCATGCACCAGCTTCCGCACCACCCTGTGCACCCTTCAAAAACATCTCGCGCAAGCTACTGAGATCACGCACTGCTGGACGCACCAACCCCCGCACCTTACCTCTGCAGCCTCGCATAGGCCACTGAGATCACGCACCGCTGGTCGCACTAACGCTTGCACCCAGGACCCTGGGTGTTTTAAGCATACTAGGCCCCCTAGCAAGGCATTTCTGTGTCGATCGTTGCTTTCTTCTTTCTTGTCTTGTTACGTGTTGGATTGAGCCTGGTTGAGCGTTGTCGAGGCTACGTCAAAACCCCTGACGCGCTGTCGCTGGATGGCCACGTCACGTCGGACATCTCGCTCACAGGCAGTCCATGTTCCGTGTGTTCTTGGCTTCTATGCCTCCATGCATAGCTCCGGCAGCGGCTTGTTCAGGCTTTGGCTGGGTAGCGGTCTCCTTTTCCGCGATGAACAGCCAGGCGCTGGTTTGGCCACACAACCCCACCTATATGACCACCAAGATTCCAAAACTATGATTGGCTGTCTTGTAGACTCTGACGGCTCTCGGCCACGCCCCCTCCTCTCTCCGGAGAACCGATGATGAGGCAGCTGGCCGGCCAATGCAGCGATCAAAAGTCACCATCCGTGGCTAGTTTGACGTGGAGCAAGCAGATGGGGAGCGAAGTGCCGGAGGAATTCGGGGTTGTTATGGGCAGAGGCGCCCACGGGCACAGGTGAACAAGTGTAGCCAAAGAGGCCTTACAAAATGATCATGGCTTTTGGCAGGCTGACTGCTTCGATTTGTGAAATAGTGCAGTTGTTTGTAGGTGGCAGCCGTTTTGTTTTCGGCACCTGCTCTACCAAGGGAGCGAGGTAGGGGCACCACTTACTTGTAGAGCGTGTTCAAGCATGTATGCGTGACTTGATGTAGTTCTGCCTGAACTTGAACGAGGTCGAGGCTGTGAGCAAACGAGAAAGGGGGGGCCAATGTAACAAACAAATGCCGCTTTGTGCTGACAATCCCACAGCACTGCTGCCGATACGACGGAAGACTCCCCGACGACAAAATTTGGGAGCTGCAGCTCAGTCTTCTGTGAGCTAAGCCATCATCCAAGGCGTCTTTGGTCCAAAGCGCTTGAAGGTGGTTCAGAACGAGCTGCTTGGGCTGGAAAAGTGTGACAGGTCTCATGTCAATGTGAGCTCTTTTCCGAACAGCAAGTGAAGCGGGCGTTGAGCGGACAAGCATTGAAAGCTGCTGCAAATTTGAAGCCCAGCTCCAATGAAAAGGTCAGTACCACGGGCATCAGCCCGTGCGCACTTTGTAGGGTCAGCCTCAACGATGGAACCCCGAAGACGACAGAAGGAAGCCCAAATCCCTGAAAGTCCCAAGCCCGATGTCACGCCCAAGTTGAACATGCCAAGTTCAGCATAGCTTGCCGCTGTGATCCCGGTCTTGTGTCGTGCAACATGCAGGCGTTAAGTTTTCCAACGCAGAAGCAAAAGCACAAGCAACTATGACACAGGCGTGCGAGGCGCTACTGATGTGACTGTTGCCTCCGTGGCGGTCGCCGGGTAAGCCCCGGCACCAAGCCCAAAACCATTCAATCCCGATACACTGTAACAAAATGTAACAAATGCCCCTTTTGAGACCCAGGTTCCCGATGCCCGTCGCGGGTCTTCCGGGCATCGTCCCTGCCCCTCCAGAGGTCGGCCTAGAGGATGAGGCAGGTCGAGGGTTTCACGCCTTCGGCTCTCGGGTTTCCGGAGTTAAAGAATCTTAAAATTTAGGGCTTGTGGGGCTTATCGGGCTTTAGGCATGAAGCTCTTAGAGTTTAGCTTACTGGGGTTTTGGAATGTATCGAGGGCAAGAAGAGTCTCTCTCCAAAAAGGGTTTATGTAATTATGTGTGTTGTAGGAAGGTTCCGACTTCCGACCGTGAGATACTTCTCGCTGTGCCGGGTGCGTGGCTGCAATAAACTGCACCGGACTGGTGCTTTTAACGCTTTACACATTTTAAGATTTGGATCTTTACCACGGCTGCAGGTGGGTTTAGGATGTGAGCATTGAGGTGAGGGTTGAAGGTGGCAGAATGCCACGGTGTACACAGAATTCCTGGTCAGTTACGATAGTACGGCAAAGAAAGACATCCAACTCGACCTGTTTCTATTTGGTCTTCGTGGCTCACGGGCTTGTCATTCCGATGGGGTGGCCAGCAGCTGGCACGCCACCTGGCGTCTCTTGTGGCGGATGTTCATCTGGCAGCCGCATAAATGGCCAGCTGCCGGGGCTACCGCAGGTGCGATGTCGATCGGACGGGCGCACTCATCAGTCTCAAGTCACGACTTCGACTTCTGCAAGCGGCGCAAGGAAACTGCTCCGACACACATGCGGATCTTGATTGGCAAGGAGTGAGCAGGCTTACGCAAAACTTCCCGCACCAGAGCCGCGTTCTCATGGGTTGAACCAGACGGCTCGGGCTCAAGGACAGCAAACGCGCGACCTTGGTATTATCGTGTTGGAAGCAGTACGTTCGGCAGCAGCAGCGGCAGCGGCAGCAGCAGCACGAGTAGTAGTAGTAGTAGTAGTAGTAGTAGTAGTAGTAGTTGTATTTGTTGTTGTAGTTGTTGTCGTCCCCTACGCGCCTTGATTTGATCGCGGGGATAGCAAGGAGTGGGGGATGAACTCTTTGTTCTGCAAGACGCCGCCACTCGACGTTGCAGTGACCAGAGCAGGTCCTTAGATTGCCTTAGATGCGCGGGTGGCGAACCGCCCACGTTTGCTCGGCGACCGCCGCGAGCCAAGTCCTCACGGCGGAGCTTTCCTTAGTGTCGGCACCTCGCTGGTGCCAACCCCAGCGCGCCATGTAGGGACTGGCAGGTCGCCTCAACTTGGTGGGGCGATGCTTACAAGTCCAAGCAACATGTTGCCACGTGGCTAACTCACAATCGCATCCTTACCAGATACACTGTGTAGGGATGCCTGCAACATTCCAGGCCGGACTAACGTACGATCCAAGAGCAATACATCTAGCGGCGGCAGAAGTAAAAGCCCATTTACGAACGCTGTCAAAGTCAATGTCTAGCAGCTCCTTCCATTGGAGCCGAGTGCGGGGCCTACGAAAGTCCCTGCACTCGTGGTGATCCCTGTCAAGGTATCTTTCCCAAAGGCTAGCCCTCCATCCCTGTCTGAGTGCATGGGCAAGCTTAGCAAGGTCACAGGGACCTCTCAAGTCGAGCTCAGGACCGGCATGGTGCCTAAAGAGCCAAGGGCGAGGCGTGTCAAAGCCGAGGCGCGCGAGCGTTTCTCTGAGGACATACACTGGGTGGCCTCTAGGGCCAAACCACCTGGCAGGCGATCTCTCTGAGCATCCCACCACTGCACGAAACAGGTGCTTTGCAGTGATGACCTCAGGGTGACTGCAGCCACCTAGGACCAAGGCTCGGGCAAACTTGTTTGCCATGCGGAAAACTCCATCACCGAATCGGACCCTTGACCAAAACTTCCAGAGATCTTTATCGTTAATGTTGCGGGCAATCCAGCCGTAGCAAATCTTCGGAGTGGCATAAGACGCTACACATCGATGAAACTTCTCAAACGGTAGCCGAACGGAAGCAATCAAACGGACAGTAGACCCAGCAGCTTCAATCCGCTGATTTTCATGCTCCGTGTAGCTACGTGAGGTTGCAGCGTGCAGCATCCAAGGAGCTTAACCGTAGGCTTGAGCCACTGACTGAGGCCTTCGCTGTCGACATGATCCCGGTGACGGGAGCTAACAGTCGTAACAGCAGCCTTAGTCTGGTTTTCGACCAGACCGACCTGAGCACTCCAGTCGTTCCAAGCAGTCTTCTGCTGGGAAACTTTTCTGGCGGAACTACATGCGACGTTACGGTCATCCATGAAGACACATGAGTGAGAGGATTCTTGCTGGGAGCTTCGCTTCTGAATGAGTCGGATGCCGCAAGCTGTCCATAACATGGTCACAAGGGGACCAAACGGGTCTCCTTGAGGGATAAAGACCTGAGTGCACAGCGGCTCCTGGTGCACGCATCCCTGCCAGCTGACCCATCTAACTTGATGAGACCAGACGTCCAGACAGATGTCTGTGAGGCCCTGAGGGAGCCCCCAGGACTTCATCAGTCGAGCGGTGGGGCCCGGAGCGAGAGTATCAAAACACTTGGAGTAATTTAAGCTCAAAAGATACCCTAACTCAGTGAACTGCTCAAGAGTTTTAGCGGCAGCAGTGAGGACATCGAAACCCCTTCTAGCCGTGATCTCAACAGGGATCTGATCTTTAATCCATTGCTGGAAACCAGACGACCGAATCCAAGAGGAGCACCAAAGTCGCCGGAAAGAGTTAAGCACAGTGATGGGTCTAGCGTGCTCGACAGACAAAACACCAAGTTTAGCTTTCCCAGGCTTGGAGAGGGAGATCATGCGGGCTTCGCGGAGGGATTTGGGGACATGGCCAGCGCGCGCTTACTCAACTCGTGCTGATACCAGAAGTCTTTCCAGAAGGAATGAATGTAGCAAGGAGTGGGGGGTGGGGGGCGGGGTCAGTAACGTCATGTTCGAGCGCATGCGGTTTACATGTTCTGTTGTCACCACATCGTAAACACACCCGAGAGCAGGGACAACGAAAACAGAGCTGATTTAACTGAGCTACCGTTAAGTTGAGCTCTAGACAGAACTATGCCTCCGTAGCCATTTTGACACAAGTTTTGGCTCGAGAGAAAGTGAGACCATGGCCTCGGATCACGCAGACGAAGTCAAGTCCTCCCTCATCGGTTCCCCTTTATCTGATTCACTATAGACTATAGTTGAGTCTTTGCTGCACATCAGGTTTTTGACTTGACTTCAAAAGAAAACGACGACGACGAGCTCAATGACAGCAAGCCAGGAGAGCCCACACATCCAGACGTAGGAGGAGGGGCAGGAGGCGGAGCTTTTGCCTCCTTGCCTCGAGCCGGCTCAAGCACCGACGGAGGACCCGAGTGGTTGAAAGGCCTCACTGAGCCTCTTATTGAGGGCTTGCATGCTAAGAGTGATCGCACACACCGCTACTGTATGCACGCGAAGCCGCGTTAGTTAGGCTTACGGCGCTAAGAAAGACAGTTGTGGAACCGGACCGCAAAACGCGTGCCTTAACCCCAACCCGAGCACCCGATGCTCCGCGTGGGGGGAGAAGTGCGGGCAACACTAGTCCCGGAAGGCCAAGGGGCGGAAGCGCGCAAGGCGCAGGACTTACCCCATGGGTCCAAAGTATGTGATTATCATATGATGAGTCATAGAGGCCTCTCTGGGGGTATGTTTGTTCAGAGGATACTGTGGCTAACAATTCCGGTGTTCTATAAATATGTACAATTTTATGTATAGTAGAAATCCGAGGATAGACAACAGGGTCTGCTTAAATGTGTGTCGGGGTGGGTTTAGGGTTTAGGGTTTCTGCTTAAATGTGTGTCGGGGTGGGTTTAGGGTTTAGGGTTTCTGCTTAAATGTGTGGGGGTGGGTTTAGGGTTTAGGGCTGCTTGAATATGTAGGGGTGGGCTGCTGCTGTTTTGGCCCCGATACCCCTCTGTCCCATCGATGCTGCTGACGACGTGCCCTCGGGCATGTTTTCACTCATCCGGCTCGGCATGCTGCACTTGTAGGTACCATCTTTGCACAGCTACGTCACACAAAGTCCACGGGTGACACACAGCAGCCAATCCTCGGATCATGAGTGTATGTTCACATATGATTGTTCCGACATGTGCAATCTAATGCAGCTGATCGTCGAGAGACCGTCCTCCTGCATAAAGCAGTGGTAGAAGCGGCATCCTTCACCTTATTCAGCTTTGCAGCTAGCTCCGATTAGCATAGGGTTTTGAAGCCGACACAGTTGCAAATCCAAGTGGCGAGTGACCACCTGCTGATAGGCCAATTCTTGCCAGGCCTAAGTTTAAGTGTTTTCTATCATGTAGCCGATACCCGAATTCATGAGGTTAAAGCACCGAGTGATCTTG